GAAGGAGTCAAAGAAAAATAACACGATTTCACCGTACAGAACCCAGTTTGGGCTGGGTAAGTATTTCAGTAATCCATCCCGGCCAGAGATTCAAATTTTCAAATTTCGGCAAAAAAAGGACGCCATTTTAAGTGGGCGGAAATCGTGCAAAAAAACATCCGTGTACTGCCTGCGCACTATGATGTCACTGTGATGTCACTGTGATGTCATTGTGATGTCACTGTGATGTCATTGTGATGTCACTGTGATGTCATTGTGATGTCACTGTTATACTGTGAAAGGGCCTGATGGCTCTGTGATTCCACTGTGATGTTTATGGGTGCTTTCGATTACACAGTCTGGACCCAGGTTTTATAAATCCGGATTGCGGCCATGTAAACAATCCACTAAACGTAAAAATCGTAATAGGGGATCACCTATGATCCTGTACACCACAGCATGCACATGCTCCTAGCATGGCTTGTACATGTATGTCGAGTACGTCAATTCTGGCGGGAGATTTAGCAATTCCGTCCTGCCTTCAGAATTGATGGGTTTGACGGAATTGGATTCCGTCGATTTTGACAACGGAATTAATGTAATCAAACAGTGCATGCAACATAACTGATTACTGAAATGTGTGTACTAGTAATCAAATGTGCCCATTGTAATGTCACTGTTATGCAGCTATGCCACTTTTATGTCATTATTGTGTATCTGTTATCCAGTGACACTCAGTCATATCAGTATTTTCCAATGTCTTGATGAATGTACATTGTGTTTCAGATGGAAGCATTGAAGAGAGACATTCCTTCCACTGACATCACCACTGTCTTGGAAAAGTTGACAGAGATCTCATCATCAATGGCTACACTAACTGCATCTCAACAAGTTATCACAGCTCAACAAGATAAAACACAGCAACAACTCGGTGTACTTTCGCAGAGACTGGAGAAAGGCAAGTTTACAGAAATTTAGCCCACGCCCACGGGTACACGTATGTATGGTGTTTTTGTGTACTAGTATGTATGGTGTTTTTGTGTACTAGTATGTATGGTGTTTTTGTGTACTAGTATGTATGGTGTTTTTGTGTACTAGTATGTATGGTGTTTTTGTGTACTAGTATGTATGGTGTTTTTGTGTACTAGTATGTATGGTGTTTTTGTGTACTAGTATGTATGGTGTTTTTGTGTACTAAGTATGTATGGTGTTTTTGTGTACAGTGTGTATGGTGTTTTTGTGTACTAGTATGTATGGTGTTTTTGTGTACTAGTATGTATGGTGTTTTTGTGTACTAGTATGTATGGTGTTTTTGTGTACTAGTATGTATGGTGTTTTTGTGTACTAAGTATGTATGGTGTTTTTGTGTACTAGTATGTATGGTGTTTTTGTGTACTAATATGTATGGTGTTTTTGTGTACTAGTATGTATGGTGTTTTTGTGTACTAGTATGTATGGTGTTTTTGTGTACAGTGTGTATGGTGTTTTTGTGTACTAGTATGTATGGTGTTTTGTGTACTAGTATATATGGCTGCGTGCATGCATGCATGTGTAGTTAACGGGTGTTCTGTAGGAATCGGTGAAATCCGACCAAAGTTGATGGTTCCCGCCCTCAACTTGCATGCCTTTGCCATCCTAGAAAGGATACGAATGCACATCGGCTTGCACATGGAAAAATACCAGAACTGGTGCAGGGTATGAGATATTGCATACGATCACCAGACAGCCTCGTTCTCTAGCTCTCTCTCTCTCTCTCACTCTCTGTTGATCTTCCTTTCTCCGTTCTTGATTATCACCAACTCCTCTGTCGCATTTACCTTACAGTCTTCTCCTTGTACCTTCGTGTTTTCCCGCACTATCTCTTTTCACCGTTGGAAAGCGTACGGTTGCTTGATTTGCTGGCGGCTTGCTTCACTGCCTTTTGTTCTTTGAGTTTTCTCCTTCGAGACAAGATACTAGTAGACATATTTTCCTTACAATGAATCTTCGAGACTGATTCCAGAAAGTTTAAATTGGTCCTTCGAGCCTCTCAGACGATGGCTGACGTAGTGAAGCGGAAGATCGCCAAGGCGAAGGCGAAGGCAACCTTCACGAACCTTGGCCACGAACTACCTGTCGCCATCGACGAACCAGACGTAGATAAAGACAAGATCAAGTGCAATCTTGTTTTACTTGAGAACGGCCTGAACGCCGTGATGGAGATCATCACCGAGTTATCCAGTGCATGTAGTAGTATCAGTCAGGACAATGTGTTTCTTGATGGTCTCTGCAAGGATGCTGATGATCTGGAAAACCAGTATACGGATGCTGTTACTCGTGCGAGTACAGTTTTGGCAAGCATGAACTGTTACAATAGTACGTGCACCAGCGAGGCGAGGGGTGTGCGGTAATTGCGCAACCCTGATCAAGTACGAGGGTATTATACTTCCTCCGCCCAGGCAAATTTTTTGCTTATCTCCTTCAGCCCAATGACAGGTGTCTGACAGCAATTTTTGCATCTTGTGCACTTCACCATCACACAAATCTGCTCGTTCAGGCGTACCAGTTCCAAACAAGTCGGCGAAGTCGGCAAAGAGTAAAGAAACATTTAGAGTAGAGCGCGTTGAATGCGATTGAACTGGTAAAAAAGACACGAAGTCAGTCACTTGTCAAGGTGGGTGCTGGGTGCTGCTAGGTGGGTGCTGCTAGAGTACCACTGCTGGCACTGGAGTACAGAGCAGAGGTGTCATGTTGCGAAAAGCTAGTGTGTTTGATTGCATCCTGCTCAAGGTGTGTGTACGGTAAAAATGCACGCGAGCTTGAAGCTGACATACGACGCTCGTACTGCAAAATGAACCAGAATCGGCACTGGGCAAAACAGTTGGAAAAGAAAGGCTTCGATGACAGGGTTGTCACTCGCCCAGCTCATTTGCCTGATATCAACGTGAACGGTCCAGCAAAGCGACGCTGACTGAGCTCGCCAGCTTCGGCTGGAAAGAAACACAACCGATCGTACTCGTGAAGGAGGTGAAGCGCTTGGAAAAAAAGTGTCGATAGAAAATATTTGCGCTTCTGGAAAGTGCGAAGTACTACCCGACAACAAGTGCTGCGTCGACTGATGACAAAGGATGCCTTCTACATTTTTCGACTTGGAGAGTTTCTCTTGATGTTCAACGACTCCTCAACATATTCGGAGTCGTTATAAGCCGTTCTGAGAACCTGGAATGTATCAGTAAAAACTGTAAAGATAAGCGAAAATTTTGCTTGGGCGGAGGAAGTATTATTTTGGAGTCTGTGTCTGCGGCGAGGACAGTGCGAGCTGCACAGGATCAGTTACAACAGGAATCCACACACATAGAATCTACACATATGCAGAGTAGCACCACAGGTAGTGCGGATGACAGTGTGTCTTTGGGTGCACCTACAGCTGCTCTGTCCACTGCAAGTAGACCTACGCAGGGCCAGGCCGTCCCCTCGTATGAATACCATGAGTACATCGTTGACCAAGGTCCGCCCGACATACATGTCAACGGGGACACAAATGCGGCGCTCACTGATGACCTCAAGGTCAAGCCTCCACGTGGGCTGATGGCCACAGCTACAGAGAGCCTTTCAAATCCGAGGTCAACATCGCCGGCTCAGCCGCCGTGCACGGAGTTTTCAAACTCCCCGACGCAGCAGTCGTACGCAGAGTTTTTGAACTCTCTGGCTTCGCAGCAGGCGCCGTGCATGGAGTTTTCGAACTCTCGGCCGCACGCGCAGCCGTCGTACATGACTGGCTTCGCAGCAGCCGCCATGCACGGAGTTTTCGAACTCTTGACCGCAGCCATCGTACACGGCGTCGTCGAGCTCTCAGGCTTCACAGCAGCCGCTGTACACAGAGCTCTCGAGCTCGGCGCCACGACAGTCGTCAACACAGGTCAGGCAGCAGCCGCTGTACACAGCGTTTTCCAGTAGTTTTCTGCAGCAGCCGTCGCACTCGGTGCCACGACAATCGTCGACTCAGGCCACACAGCAGCAGCTGTCCACAGTGTTTTCAAGTTCTGTACAGCAGCAGCCGCACGCAGCGCCGTAGCAGCCGCTGTACACAGCGTTTTTAAGTTCCGCACAGCAGCTGCTGTACACAGCGTTTTCAAGTTCCGCACAGCAGCCGCTGCAGCTGCCGCCGCACGCAGCGCCGCAGCAGCAGCCGCCGCACGCAGCGTCGCAGCTGCCGCCGCACGCAGCGCCGCAGCAGCCGTCGCACGCAGCGCCGCAGCAGCCGTCGCACGCAGCACCGCAGCAGCCGTCGCACGCAGCGCCACAGCTGCCGCCGCACGCAGCACCACAGCAACCGTCGTACGCATTGTTGACGCCAGACCAGACTCGGAGCGGCTTCCGACCAAACAGTCAAAACCCGACGCTGTCATCGCAGTCAGCGCGTTTACCCGTTACGCCGCAATTGTCGCCACCTGCACTGACTCCCTCACCTGACAGTTCCTCAGGTCAAAGTCCACTCAGCGCGGCACCATCTGATGTCTATCGCAGGGGCGTAGCAGCCGGTCCGGCCGGTCCGGCTTTGGCCGGACCCCCTTTTTTAACACAATGCCAGAAGTGCCCTGAATGCAGGATTTTGCACTCTAATTTCAAAATATTCCCCGGGCGAGAGCCTCCGGACCCCTCCGGCCGGACCACCTCCAACGGCGGTGCTACGCGCCTGTATCGCCATTTGAAGAAGATCACCATCCCAACTTTCAGTGGCAACAAGAAAGCGTACGACACCTGGCGTATGGCATTCATGGTGTGCGTGGATCAGCAGCCAATATCAGCCGAGTTGAAGCTCCTTCAACTCCGCCAGTGCCTCACGGGCCCGCCGCTAAAGAGCATTGAGGCATTTGGCTACTCAGCGTCCGCGTACTCAGCCGCGATAAGTCGCCTGGAGCACAAGTGCTGTGGCCTCCGTCGTAAGACGGCCGTCCACATGACCGCACTCTCGCAGTTTACGCCCATTCGGGATCGGGGTACTGCCGCAGAGTTTGAGCGCTTTGCTGACTTGCTGCAAGTCGCAATCATCAACCTGCAGGATGTTGGGCAACATGGCGAATTGGCTGCAGGGACATTCTGCACCCAATTGCAGCGGAAGTTGGGCCCGGAGTTGCTGACCAACTATAACAGATGCCGATGTGACACAGGTGCTGAAGAGTCCGTACCCCACCTACTGCAGTGGGTGCTGAGCGAAGCAGACTTCCGCACGGAGGCGGGTGAGACGCTGCACAGCATCGCCAACACAACACTGGGCTCCCGGTCACCGCCTTCTGCCAGGCCTCCCAGGTTTGGACCAGCTACGGCATCTGCGTTAGCAGTGTTGTCCACCAACCCTCGTGCTTACTGCTCTCAGGATCACGCTGCCGCACAGCGCCCCGTTATTACTTCACTCGCAAGAAGGAAGGAAATAGTGAAACAGGACGGGCGTTGCTTCGTGTGCCTCAAGCAGCATCACATGGCCCGCAACTGCCAGTCAACGTTAAAGTGCGCCAAGTGCAGCCGGCGACATCATGGCAGCATCTGCGATGGCACGCTAGCGCTTGCTGGCAAGGACAAGTCGTTTGGCACGGCCACCAGGTCCGGTCAGCGACGTGCGTCGCCAGCCAAGGATCTCTGGACTGAAGCGGGCACATCCGCAGCTGTGGGCACGGTCGGCAATGGTGGAGCCATGCTGCTCCAGACGGCTAACGCTACAGTCTGCTCCCCAGCAGACCCGACCCGCACCGCCACGGTCGAAGTCGTTATGGATGGCGGCAGCCAGAGATCCTTCGTGGCGTACGATGTGACCAAGCAGCTGGGTCTACCAACCCTTTAGGATGAGTGGATCTGCCTGAATCCGTTTGGTTCGCCTACTGACCAGTGTGACTAGTGACCAGTCTACCCCTACTGACCAGTGTGACTAGTGACCAGTCTACCCCTGCTGACCAGTGTGACTAGTGACCAGTCTACCCCTGCTGACCAGTGTGACTAGTGACCAGTCTACCCCTACTGACCAGTGTGACTAGTGACCAGTCTACCCCTACTGACCAGTGTGACTAGTGACCAGTCTACCCCTGCTGACCAGTGTGACTAGTGACCAGTCTACCCCTACTGACCAGTGTGACTAGTGACCAGTCTACCCCTACTGACCAGTGTGACTAGTGACCAGTCTACCCCTGCTGACCAGTGTGACTAGTGACCAGTCTACCCCTACTGACCAGTGTGACTAGTGACCAGTCTACCCCTACTGACCAGTGTGACTAGTGACCAGTCTACCCCTACTGACCAGTGTGACTAGTGACCAGTCTATCCCTACTGACCAGTGTGACTAGTGCTCAGTCTATCCCTACTGACCAGTGTGACTAGTGACCAGTCTACCCCTACTGACCAGTGTGACTAGTGACCAGTCTATCCCTACTGACCAGTGTGACTAGTGACCAGTCTATCCCTACTGACCAGTGTGACTAGTGACCAGTCTACCCCTACTGACCAGTGTGACTAGTGACCAGTCTATCCCTACTGACCAGTGTGACTAGTGACCAGTCTACCCCTACTGACCAGTGTGACTAGTGACCAGTCTACCCCTACTGACCAGTGTGACTAGTGACCAGTCTATCCCTACTGACCAGTGTGACTAGTGACCAGTCTACCCCTACTGACCAGTGTGACTAGAGACCAGTCTATCCCTACTGACCAGTGTGACTAGTGACCAGTCTATCTCTACTGACCAGTGTGACTAGTGACCAGTCTATCCCTACTGACCAGTGTGACTAGTGACCAGTCTATCCCTACTGACCAGTGTGACTAGTGACCAGTCTATCCCTACTGACCAGTGTGACTAGTGACCAGTCTATCCCTACTGACCAGTGTGACTAGTGACCAGTCTATCCCTACTGACCAGTGTGACTAGTGACCAGTCTATCCCTACTGACCAGTGTGACTAGTGACCAGTCTACCCCTACTGACCAGTGTGACTAGTGACCAGTCTATCCCTACTGACCAGTGTGACTAGTGACCAGTCTGCCCCTACTGACCAGTGTGACTAGTGACCAGTCTACCCCTACTGACCAGTGTGACTAGTGACCAGTCTATCCCTACTGACCAGTGTGACTAGTGACCAGTCTACCCCTACTGACCAGTGTGACTAGAGACCAGTCTATCCCTACTGACCAGTGTGACTAGTGACCAGTCTATCTCTACTGACCAGTGTGACTAGTGACCAGTCTATCCCTACTGACCAGTGTGACTAGTGACCAGTCTATCCCTACTGACCAGTGTGACTAGTGACCAGTCTATCCCTACTGACCAGTGTGACTAGTGACCAGTCTATCCCTACTGACCAGTGTGACTAGTGACCAGTCTATCCCTACTGACCAGTGTGACTAGTGACCAGTCTACCCCTACTGACCAGTGTGACTAGAGACCAGTCTATCCCTACTGACCAGTGTGACTAGTGACCAGTCTATCCCTACTGACCAGTGTGACTAGTGACCAGTCTACCCCTACTGACCAGTGTGACTAGTGACCAGTCTATCCCTACTGACCAGTGTGACTAGTGACCAGTCTACCCCTACTGACCAGTGTGACTAGTGACCAGTCTATCCCTACTGACCAGTGTGACTAGTGACCAGTCTATCCCTACTGACCAGTGTGACTAGTGACCAGTCTATCCCTACTGACCAGTGTGACTAGTGACAAGTCTACCCCTACTGACCAGTGTGACTAGTGACCAGTCTACCGCTACTGACCAGTGTGACTAGTGACCAGTCTACCCCTACTGACCAGTGTGACTAGTGACCAGTCTATCCCTACTGACCACTTTACCAGGCATGTACACTGTCATATTCAAAAATCACTGTGATTTGCGACAACCTGGTGAAAGAACAGCAAACAACTTGTCTTGTCTTTTTGGGCGAGTGGGGGGGTGGGCGGCGGGGGGGGGGGGGGGGGGTTTTACTATTATTCACAAACGCAACTCGTAAAATAAATAATTATGTGGACAAAAACAAACAGCTACTGAGCAGGGGCTGCACTGGGCAGCAGTGATGGTGAGGTACCAGGAGCTTCGACGTAGAGGCGTGAAGTGCTCAATGCCGTACGACGAGATTCTCGACGAAACGTACCAACCGTACACCCCCCAGCAGATCACACACCTCCTGCAGGAACGAGGCTCTGCTGACAGGGGTGCACTGGAACATCCGGGCACGCAATAGGATCGTCCTGGGAGTCCCTCAAATCCTACCACCTCGTCGGTAAGCCACCGGATCATTGCTCACACTAATACTTGTCGTAATGTCACTTTAGCTCTTATAAATATTTGTAGTCTCAGAAATAAGGTTCAGGATATTCACAAACTCTTGCACGATCATAAAATTCACATTCTATCCATTAACGAGACACACCTGGACAGCAGCATTCCCGATTCTCTTTTACACGTTCCTGGCTACACATTGTATCGACAAGACAGAGATCTACATGGCGGAGGAGTATGCATGTATGTGCACGCGTCTCTTGTTTCCTCTCCTGCCCCAACGCAATGTATACCGGGAGTGGAGTGCATATTTGTACGTGTTCGCATACCGTCTTCCAAACCCAAATCCAACGAGCTGGTTGTGTGCAGCGTGTACCGTCCACCCAACGCAAAGGTCGAGTTCTGGGAACTCTTCAGCCTTCAACTCGACAACATTCTACGTCAGTTTTCGAACATTATTGTCCTCGGTGACCTGAACACGGATGTTCTGCAGCCTCGCAGTGGACACTACAAACATCTCCGGAATATGTGCTGCGAGTTTGATCTCAGGAATGTTGTCACTGCTCCCACTCGTCATGGGCAGACCTGCATCGATTTGGTACTTGTTTCCACTGGAGTCCAGCTTACACAGACAGCAGTGCACCCTGTGGACGGTATCAGCGACCACGACCTAGTTATAACCCACCTAACATATCCAACCATGTCTACCTGTCCACTCTACACCAATATCAGGAAGCCGAGCGCCACAGAAATAGACCGGGACGCTCTATGCCGAACCGTGGACGAACAACTGACGTCATTCCCCCTTGCAACAGATGTAAATATCTTGGCGAACAGCCTAACAGCCGTCCTCACGTCAACTTACGACAAACTTTGCCCCGTCCGTCGCATCTGCGTACCATCCTTCAGCAAACCCAAACCTCAACCCTGGCTGACTCCTCACCTGCGATATCTTTTACAGCAGCGTAAGCATTTGCACAGAAAGGTTCGGTCACGTCCCTCTGATCAACAACTAATGCAACGGTACCGGGCAGTGAGAAGGGAAGGGACACTTCTGAACAGGCGCCTGAAGTCGGAGTTCCTAATGCAACAGTTCAGAAACATGAAGCGTGACCCCAGAGGCCAGTGGTGTCTCTTAAATAAGCTCTCTGGTCGAGCCACCACGAAATCCACCCCTGCAGCGCCACTTCCAGCACTCACTGCAACATTTGCGGCAGTTGTCCACGACCCAGCCAGGCCAGGAGTGTTGCAGATACCAGCCGACAGGGATCCGACAGCACCTAGCACCCTGACTGACTTCACCTTGGTCAACACTGAAACAGTTGAGGCTCTACTGACTACTCTAAACTCCCACAAGGCCGCGGGTTCGGATGGCATTCCTCCCTGCATCTTAAAGTCATGCAAAGCAAATATCACGGCCTCACTAACATCCATAATCAATCAGTCCCTACTTTCTGGCGTTTTTCCAGCCTCTTACAAGCATGCACACGTGTGCCCACTCTTCAAGTCCGGGGACAAACTTGCAGCCACCAACTACCGGCCAATATCTCTGCTGCCCGTTGCCTCCAAGATATTGGAGAAGGTTGTCCACCGGCAGATTACTGAATTCTTCCGTGACCACCCAGAGCTGTCCGCCTTGCCGCTGGAGCAGTTTGCGTACCGTCCAAAGCACAGTTGCGAAGATGCCCTCGCTGTTTCCATAGACAGGTGGACAAGAGCACTGGACAATGGCCAGCGATGCGCGATACTGTTCGCAGATATGAGCAAGGCTTTCGACCGTGTACAGCATCAACAACTGGTCAACGAGCTGGCTGACGTAGGGCTAGGCGGCTCGGTGCTGAAGTGGTTCGCGGACTATCTGTCCTCCAGAAGTCAACAAGTCGTGGTCAATGGGGAGCGTGGTGGGACTGTGCCCTGCACCAGGGGAGTTCCGCAAGGGTCCGTCCTTGGCCCCCTCCTCTTTTGCGTCTACATCCGCAAGGTTCCACAGATTGTTCGGAACAGTATTTCTCAGCTCTATGCCGATGACATCGCCTTTTTCGTCATTGGAACGGACCTCTCTGTCATGCTGCGAAAGCTTCAGGATGACCTTAGCGCTCTGGAGCTCTACCTTGATGACAAAGGACTTCTCATGAACCCTGACAAGACGCAGTTCCTGGTCCTTCGGCGCCCACGCCAACCTGTGCCGCATCTACCAATCCCCCTAGTTTGTAAAGGCAAGCCCCTCACCCCTGCAGCCACCGTGAAGTATCTCGGACTACTCATCGACGAGCATCTCACCTTCCAGCCGCAAGTCGAGAAGGTCTGCGGTGCGGTGTTCGGCAAGATTGCCGCCTTCAGACATGGCCGAAAAAACCTAACACCTGAAGCGAAGAGGACGTTCTATTTATCCATTGTGCAATCGACTCTCGACTATGCCAGTAACGCTTATCTGCACTGTCTCAGCGCCACCCTGTTCAATAAAATCGTGACGGTCAGTCACATAGCAATGAAGAAAGTTTTTGGGTTTGACCGTATGATGTCTACTGAAATTGTTCTCCGCAAATATCATCTCTATTCTTTTGAACAGCGCACAAATCTTAAAC